ATTCTGTAATTATTATTTTTTCAGAATATAAAATTATTATTGGGACAATCTAGGTAATCGGTCTAGGTCGGTTTGTAGATCAAAATGGTCAGTCTCCTTTCTTACTGTTCTTCAGATTTTGACATCATCCACAAGTAATAATTCTGGCAACCTAAGCAATCGTGGTAATTCATTAACTTAGAAAAGGAAAAATAGGATACGTAAGATCGTGCCTTGGGGTATATCGCTTTTGACCGTCTTTCATCCAGATAGAGTCCTATTTACCCTCACTCTCTGTCTTTGGTTACATATGAAGTTTTCTATTCACTCTTGCTCAGAATTTGTTATTCCAAAGCTCGAGAGCTTTTGCATAAGACCTAAGTGGGAAAGCTTGTCAGATGCTTTGCTCATGTCTATGAATATCAAATCCACAGGTCGATCGTTATCTAGGGCTGTTGTCTAATCTTCTCCTGTAATAATTAAGTTGGTTGGGTATGAATGCTTGTTTTGAAACCCGTATAGCTCGAGGGTTAACAGCTTGTATGATTCTAGGTGATTTAGTAACTCAACCCGAATTATTTTTTCAAGGAAATTAACTACTTTAATAGATAGACTGACAGGTCGATAGTTAGACACCATCTTTATCTGACCATCTTTAAATATAGGACCAAACAAACCATATTTTAAATCTCTAGGGAGTTGAGTGTGGGAAAAGATATATTTGAAGAGTACGGTGAGTGCTGCATTAGGATACAAGTGATAGTATAGTTCTAAAGGTTAAGTACAATAGATAAATCGTTTTCTTAATGTAGATAGTTATATTCAGGTTCTTGCTACGATATTTTGGATGTCGAATGCTTTCCAATATGTTGAAGATGGCACAGATATTCAGTGTTTGACAACGCTTTTACCAGTAACACCTATTAATATAACCCGTACCCACCAAGAGAAATCAAAAGATAGAATCGAGGAGATCAGAAGTTGTATTTGACGGTTGCCAATATATCGGAATTGTCTGATCTAGTCTGGCTAGCGATTGCAGTAGATGTTGAGCATGGCGTTCCCACACGTGATCTGGTGCGGATGCATGACCGAGCGCCTTCAGCTAGGTGAGTCCATTAAAACATGTGGTCAGCATCCAATGTCGAAAACTTACAGAGCTATTTATTTTGGGGATTTATTTTTCGCTACAATGTTTTTGGATGATCAAATGGTCGTTATCTACTTCTAGTCTTCTGAGTTAAGCTTACATATTTTTCAAAGTCGAAGACAAATTAGAGGACTTCTAGTCCATTTTCGGAGCTAAACTAAATTTTTTGAGTCCTAAAAACCAATCCGGGAACTATGCCCTTATTGGCTACTGTTGAAAACACTCAAGCAATGGTCTCCGTTCAACTGAGCTAGTATTACTAGACAGCTGTCTACTACTAGTTAGCAGATGTCCTCTTCAGCAGTAAATAAAACTTATTTTCCGATACGAACAATGCTTCCTGCACAATGAGACTCAGTCAATAATCCATGCCAAACATGAACCATGTATTTCGACAAAAGATCATAGGGAAAAACAGATGTTTCTACAAACACTAATGGTAACTTCAATATGTTTTTTGGTTAGGAGAATGACTCCAAAGTAAATCCGTATTTTAAATGGAGCAGCCTCTGTCAGGTCATCTGAATTGTGAAATATCGGTGTACAAGGCAAACATGAAAAAGTACATTATTGCTCTATATAGTTAATCAACGTTTTGAATTACTCAATCTTACTGACACCATGGATACAGTAAATGCTTATTGATGAATGTCCTGCAAACACAAAATTCGAAAATATTTTTGATCGGATCAAAAATATTATGCAAATGATAGTGCATCAATGTGCTGATTACGAGGCTAAATAAATAAAACGTTTTAAAAAATGATAGTTCTGGTTACGTTTGTGAAATTCCACGATCACTGCTTCCCACGCGCTTTTTGAAAAAGCGTTTTTTCGTTTGCTAATATTTACAAAAATTGTTGACATAAGTATGTTATGTATTTAGTGGTCCGTTAATCTGCCCCCCATTTGATCCTATCACGATATCCGGCAGCCAGAATAACCCATGTGGACCTGAAATGGTTCCATACATTGTAACGTGTACTGGTGGTCACAGTTTCCTGTGAAAACTATAGTCATCATGAAGATACAAATATCTTAGTCTTATATTCCTTTTGAGTAATCAAGGTTTCGTGAAAAGCCAGGACGAATCAAGTAGGTGTATAATAATGCTCGATACTAAGGATAGCATTATGAAATGACAAATGCCTAAGGAACTTTTACATTATTATGAGACGACTACTGTTTTTACTAACATACATTATGAGCCAAATTCGGTCTAGGCAGAAATTTATAGGGAAATAAGGCAATGAGCTTGAGGTTTTTGTATGGGGATCTCGTTAGCTTTCTCTGAATATTTATCCAGTGCCTAGAGATATTTCAAAAAAATTTGGTTGTAGTTCTGGTAACGTAAGTGACGAAAGTGAACTTCATGTTTTAGCATAGTACTCAAAGTGATTAGAAACTTTTCAGTTGAGTTTTCTTAAAATTTATATCAAATTTATCAATTTCTCGCTGATTTAAAAGGTAGGGGTAAACTTTATTTCCACTCGTGATCAAAAGTACTGATCTCGATTAAACATTTTACTCTTAATATTGAATCAAACTTCCTACATTAAATCCTGATCAACCATTTCACTCCCTGCATTTCTATGTAATGACCCATCCATCATCATCGCTTACATGCCAGCCATATAGAAACAAATCTTACCTCTTCAATCTCGGTTGGGAATGAATCAGTATCGTCGACAGAGCTTACCAAAATTGCTCGTTTGTCGTGCCTCGATGACTAGAGGGCCACAGTTCTAAGGGCGAAACAGTTTTTATGATCTGTGAAGACTCACTACTGTTGCATTCTAAATGAAAAAATAGTGATGAATTCAGTCAGAGACGGGGAATAGATAAATAACCAAATTACATGTTTCTTAGCAAAGAATTTATGCAGTTGTGATTTACCTTGAGTTCATGAATATTAGATAAGGTCAGCTACTATTACTTGTGCAAGGCATAACACGGGCTTAGTACCGTATCGCAATGCTTTCATTATTTTGCTCCCATTTAAGTATTCCCATGCATCTGCGCCTGGTTTAACAGGAAGACATACAAGCATAGTTAGTGTCTGATAAACTAAAAGTCCCGGTCGTCAAAAAGATTCTTGACATTTGTCCACAGCCAGCTGCATTTAATTAAGACACAGAACACTCATCTTCTAAGGCCGTATACTGCTGTTTTGCGGGCAACTAAAAGCTCAAACACTTAGCTATCCTGCTACCGATGTTATTGCTGGGGAAATTGTTTAATGACAGTGATTATGAAATATGGTCAGTGATAGATGTACAGTCTAGAAATAAATAACAAACATACTTATCGCTATTTTATAATGTATGACAGCAACAGAATCAAAGGCACGTTTTTCCCTATTTTTAATCAGACCGATTTGAATCAGTATACTCATTGGGAACTGGCAACTCTACTTACTAAACTGATCTGTTTCGTTACAGGCTTCACGCACTATACTTAAGTATACCATAATTCCATCAACTAAACTAAACTATACAACAACCAAGAATACTAAACTAAGCAATTGCTTATGACACTTAAGTGTCATAATTATTGTTTCATTTACGCAGACATGTTGCTCAGAGTAGTTAAATTGACATAATTCAGCCGATAAAAAGGAAACACGAAATATAGGCCAGTCGGACTTACCGAACAAAAGACAAGGGATATATATATTGCTTTCCGACTGAAGACAACAGTCAGTTGTTCATAAAAACATAGTTTGCAATACAAAAAACCTTTCTTCAGTAACATTATGCGCTGACGATCTATCTGGAAGCAATCAACTATGTGATTTTACTCACTATGACTTGGGATATCATCCCAGAATGCAATGAACGTACAGTGTAACGCAGCCAGACGTGACGAATAAAAATTAAAACCAGAGCAAACTTAACAGCATAATCTAGTTATTTAATAAAGATTACATTATGAAATGACGAATTCTATGATTACTTGAGTTCACAGATGACTGTTATTACACTGGGCGATATATTAAGCTTACATTGTTGCGTTGCGGATAATATCACCCCTACGTAGAACGAAAACGAAATTAGTAAAGAAACGTATACCTAAGGCTAGTTAAACACCAAATGGAACCAGCATTGCACAAGCCAGTCTATGGCATATGATTAATTAATCTACGTTAGCTTTTTTTTCCAAAACTGTTCAATTTACTGTATAACGATAAAGTATCTATTTCAGCTTTATGGATGATTTCGCCGTTATTTGATGGCGATTTTTTGGCCTACGAGCGCATTGATCTCACATAAATTAAGTTTTGAGGAATTCCTTGAGTTTCTGTTATAATGCACTATTTTTTACAAAGTAGTCGAACCACAAGGTTGTTCGGTACAACAATTGTTTCTTTACTCAGGGAAGTACAGCAGTCCATATTGGCAGATGTGTTTTGTTCTAAATGCTTTTTCGTTTGCTCTGTGGTGTTTTTGAAACGCTTGTCGTTTACATATGCCAAGAATGTTATTAATGTGGAAAGTATTATCCTAAAGTTATTTGCGTTTTTCAGACTTTTGCTGTGTCCTAGGACGCGAAGGTAACACTTGAACTGAAAGATCTATTCTGTGCGTAAAGTTAGGTAGATAACTCCTCTTTTCGAGTTTTATTCGAATTAGTAATTAACCGTGGTTTCGCCTCAGCTTACCATCCGGTTTTTAATGTTTTCCACGTTTAAAGGCCAGTTTTAGTATTTTTAAGTATCCGTGATGTCCGCTTTAAATACATTACTCTTTTAACCTGTAAACTATTTCAATTTTGTTAACAGCTCATATTTCAGCGTCGTCACTAAAACCATATGTGTAAGCAACCTGATGTCCTTTTGGCGTCAACTGTGTTATGCACTGTGACGTATCAGTTAGTAACAATGTAGAACTTCGAACGTACGTACATCAGTTCGAGTTGCCATACCACATTAGTACACAGATACAATTATCGATTCAAATCCCGTAGTGGTAGATGTAGTAAGAGTAAAAGCAGTAATCAGAAACATTAGGGCTTGAAGATGTTATTCAAGGAGTATAATCTAGTGAAATAAATTTGGAAAGAGAAAAATAAAGGTATATGAGGAATTCAGGAGATTAGAATTTGGGAGAATATAAAGATTGGATGCGCTATTGCAAACGACTTTAAGCCATGTCATTCAAGGTCTCTAACCATCGGTTGCTATCGTCTCGCGGATCCCAACAAGGTAGTCTACACCTACCAACATGGCTTAGTCCATATGTCAGTGACTTCATGGATTTGTGCCATGTTTTGGTCTGGCCACCCCTAGCTTTCTTACAACCTACTCCTACACCAGAAAACATCGCACGTCGGGGCAGTCGGTGGTTGGACATATGTAACACATGTCCCAGCCATCTCAACTGATGAAGTTTCACTACTTCATCAACTGATTTGTCATCCTTACCCAGTACCCGTTTCCTGACAACTACATTACTTACTCGATGTTCCCAGGATATACGGGCAATGTTTCGAAGACATCTATGATCGAATACTAGTAACCTACGAATATCCTCTACTCTTACCGGCCATGTTTCACTGCCATCAAGTAGGAAGGAACGAACTGCTGTGCAGTAAACACGTCCTTTGGTTGGTAGACGGATATCTCGCCTACACCATAAATGACGCAAGTTGGCGAACGTTAGTCGAGCCTTCTGTATCCGTGCTGAGATTTCGTCACACACCAGACCACAAGGGCTGATGAGACTTCCCAGATAAGTCAGGAGGTCGAAACGTTCAACTACTTCACTCCCTATCATTAGTTCGGGTGTCGATGCAACTTAACCCTGAAGGGACATTTTGCATTTCGAGGGGGAGAATCGCATCCGGAACATGCTTGCATTGTTGCTTACAGTGGTCAGAAAACTCTGCATTTTGTCAGCGTCTTCACCAAATAGAACTATGTCATCAGCATATTCTAAGTCAACAAATGAACCTCCCGGTAGAAGTTCAACCCCTGTAAATTCAGATGAGGAAAGTGTTATCTCTAAAAGTACATCGACGACAAAGTTGAACAAGAATGGAGAGAGTGGACAGCCCTGACGAACACCACTTGAGGTGATCAATTTTGATGACAGTTCGCCTTAAGCTCTCACTCTACCAGTTGTGTTCGAGTAGAGAGCCTTTACAAGGTTAACTTACTTCTTTGGTGCTCCTTTCAGTAACAAACACTGCCATAGACCATCATGATCAACAGAGTCAGATGCCGCCTCAAGGTCGAGAAATACTACGATTGTGGGGCATCTGAATGTGTGTCTATGTTCCAGGACCTGCCGTAGTGTGAATATCTGATCTCTACAACCACGTCCAGGTCGAAAACCAGCCTGATTTTCTCTAGTCTGTTCTTCACGAGCTTTGACTAGGAGCCGAAGTATTATTGAAGCTAATATTTTAAACACTATATTTGTCAAACTGATTCCTCTGTGATTGTCACAAGAGGACTTTTGTCCTTTCTTATAGACTGGCACAACCAGTGATTGAATCCAGTCAGATCGGATTACGTCCAATTCTCAAATTCTACCTAAGACCTCAGTCAATCTCACTGTTAATACTGGACAACCATCCCTAAAAATCTCATGGGTAAACCTGTCAGGGCCCGCTGCTCTCCCTTGCTTCACTGGTGTCATATACCTTGATCCCTTAAAGGCATTTGATAGGGCCAATCATATGTCTCATCAATAAGCTCAAAGTGTTACATATCAAGTTGTCGTCAATAAATTGGTTCACACATAATATCTAAGTAATCAGGTTTCTAAGAATAGAGTCAACTTCACTTTTTCTCAAACTACAGAATGTCCTAGTGGTATCCCCAGGGCTTAGTACTAGAACTTCTCTCTTTATATACATGACTTCCTCTGTATCGTCTGAGTTACTGCTTCAAACAGATGATGTTAAGCTGTGGAGAAAAGTTTTAAACCAAGATGATAAGCTGGCACATCTGGAGGATCTAACTTAGCTTTAAAGTTTGGCGGATAACAACGGATTTATTTTCAACACTTCAAAGTATGAAGTGGTTCTCTTGAGACTTGTTGCAGACTTTGCATACAGCTTAGGTAATTCCCCTGTAGAGGTGTCCAAAGTTGGGAAATATCTAATAGTCTTGCTATCTTATTTTCTTAAGTCTTACTCTAATTGCGACAAAAATGCCTTTCGAGCAAAGCTTGCACTGGTTACGTTGAAGTCCTTTTTTGGCCAGTCTGACAATAGAATGTCCACCTAATCTTCAAGTTTTATTCGGCTTCATTTAGAGTATGGAAAGCAGTTTCCCTCGCTCCAAAGGGGTAAAAATATACAAAAACGCACCCAGAAATCAGTTCAGTAACTCAACTTCTAGCCTTACAAAGAGCGCTTCAATTCACTAAATGTCTACCCATTAGAGTATATGCGTCTCTGATGTAACCTACTGAGTTATATCTGTCTGACATATATATATATATATATATTCCAATTACTCCTGGGAACCATCAAATACTTGTTTAAGCTCAGCCCCAGCACAAACACTAAAATTACAGACACAACATAGCAGAATGGACTGCAGGGACACCTACTCTAGGAGTAGTGAAATCTTGGGATTCGCTGCTAGCTGAGGTAGTCCAAGCCACATCCCGGGTGTCCTCCAAGAGGAAACTTGACATATTTTTAAGGACAGATGATAGTATTTCACTATAATTTACAGACATTTCCCTTTTGTTTGTTACATATATCTAGGTTCCCAACTGGAGGCATCGGGGACCCACTGCTACTAAATACAGAAACTCGTTAAGTGGAAGCTTCTATCCCGTCCACAACCATTCGAGTGGGACTTCATAAGTGTCAACAAAAGTTTTTCTAAGTTCAGTGTTTTCCACATTTTCTTTTGTCTCTCGTACCAAGATTTGACTCAGTGTTTGTTATGACGTTTGTTGTCATAATATGTCCATCTTTTTTATTAAAAGTTATTACTTCTCGATATATCAAACTGAATATAACCAATGCAGTCAAATGACTAAACGACGACCAAACAGCTGTTACCAAAGAGAAATCAATCTATTTATATAAGATTGTCACAAAAATATTAGCATAAATATGAGTCGTTTATTTCTAACTTAAATTACTGGCGTTACCAGTTAAGGTTCGTTAGTTGTCCACATACTCGCCTCCGAGTATCCTTTTCAACTGTGTTACTTATGAAGTCCTAGAAAAACATGAAGATTTGTCTTTTGTTGTTCTCTATAGTCTCATGGTTGATCCATTAGCGTCTACAAGTCAAACACAGCCCAGTAAGCCTTTTTCAGTGGATATTAGAGATTTTTTTGAAAGGATAATGAGACCCCGGCATCTAACATCCTGGAATCAAGTTGAAGAGGCCATAGATCTTTTGCAGAAAGTTTGTTCCATAAATATTGGCTAACATACATAGATGACCTATACACACTATGTAGTTAGAGAAAGCAAATTAAATAAAGAAGAGCCTGGACTCCATTACCACTATGTTGTGTATGTGTGCACTTTTGGCCACAAAAGAAAGCCTGAAGGTACTGGGCAAAGAGTTAAAGGGTAACTGGCTGTTATTTTACTAATAGCTTTTTAGATCAAAATTCACTGGCTGTAAATCCATGTTTAGAATCAGATACGAGCATAACAGATATATAATACCGGCTTCTAAAACAGTGCACAACCATCCGTGCGACAGGGAATATTTAACAAACGACCCTTGGTCCAGAAAGCTCAGCCAAGACCAGTTGCAAGTTTTAACCCCGATGATCACAGTTGTTTCAGAACCAAATGAAATAATTAAATATGTTGATGAAACCTTCAACAAAACCATCACGTTCAACGATTATAAAAATCTCCGACATAAAGTTGCTAAAAGTAAGTTTTCTTATAGTTAAAGATTGTCAGGTTGTAGAATTCAAAAGGATGGTCTTACAAAGGTAGATTGTTTGACAGCCCTATGAATGTCACGATAATGTCAGTCAAATTTCCAGGTTATGCTTTATTAAATCATATGTGTAAATTGTAAATGTATAAGCGGTTTCTTGAGATAATTGTTATCGATTCCACATATACAAACAAAAAAGTAAAAGGATCCCACTTGATAACAATTATTTGTTCCAATTAGTTATTACATATAACAATGGTCACGTATACTATATCCTTATATGCAATCTTTCTTTTATATATTACCACCTCTGAATTAACTACTTTTATGAATCCGGTATCCATCTTGTGTTAACGAGGTATGGCAACTTGGACCAATGCATATATGTGCCTGGTCTTACGTTGTAGCTGACTAACTGACTGATGGTCACGTATATTCAGTTACTGTTGCTCAATCTAAACTTGATAAAAACCTACGAATAAATCTAGACTCATCATGACAGAAGCAATAACAATTAAAGCATTTCCAATATACTTTGTTGGATGTCTAAACCAAGGAGTATTAATAACACATCGTAGATTAAACGTTTCTGTAGAAAAGTTGTTTTCTGCGGAATAGGGTTTCTTATACCATACCCAACCCTCCTTCATCGAGGTTACAGGCGAAGGTACAAGTCTTCTCTAAGAAACCTTGTTTGAAATCTCACAACCATTAAACAATATTGCGTTGGGATTTTTGCAGTCATTAACCATAATTTTCCTGTTGATAATTTCGGCAGCATATTCAACATTTCCATTAGGAACGAGTTACTATTTATGTTGTCTTCGATGCAGAATCTTTTCAATCACCTCGACTGTTCCGGGATTTGGCAACTTCAGTCAATATACATACGTACCAAGTTTTACATTATAAACTAAGTGACTGGATTAACACTCGTGACCAGGGGTCGTTTACCACTGTCGTATAGGTAGTTTTCCTGTGTGTAGTAAGCTCAAATGAGTTATTCTCTTAGCTGATTCCAAACGTAAGTATATAAATAGTGTCGTTCGTCCTAACTTTCGGTAGTATAGACACCAGCTTATCGCACACAAATATAGCATAATAATACCGAGATTTATGTTTTGTTTCATTCACTTTGCTTTCTTTACTACAAAAAATATGGAATTCATCTGTTAACAAGTATATTTGGTATAAGTTAAATTCTTTTCTCAAGCTAATACTTGGTTCACTAGTATTTTCCTTCCCATTTCAGATAATCAACAAAAAGAAACTAGATAATCTATTGCTGATGTACATACTCTGTAAATTTAATAATTAAATTTTAATTTCAAATCGATGTATCCTGTGCGTTTACATCATAATTCGTTCTCTTATATATAAATACTGACGGGTTTGTGACATGTATACACCTAATCAATCAGGTATTTGTAAAGGAAACTAAACAGATATATACATCCAAACATAATCTAAGTACCAAGATTTTATTTATGCCTGTGTCGGTACGCAGTTAACTGCTGCATGATTCACCTGTCCCTTAATAATGATGAGTTCTCGAGTCGCTATCTGAAACCTCTGTTTATACAAAGCAAGGCTGCCCAACCGTAGCAACTACCTTGCCATAGTGGTTGAGATTTTCCATCGTGATGACTCAACCCAGCTATATTGACTGAAACGTTTCTTCAGGTCTTACTATACCAAGTCGGCTTAGGAACGGTAAGGTTCTGTTCGACTAAACTGGGCTAATAACTTGAAAAGATAGTGACACACTCGGTTGCCTTTTTTGCCGGTGCGGCTCAGGCGAAATAAACGACAAATTTTGTGGGAAGCTATTTAACCTCACTCGAAAGGTTAAACGCCCTGATGTAATAATGGTGGGTGATTTTAATGCTCAGGTTCGCAGACTAAACCAAACAGAAAGACACTTAAGCGGGTCATACGCTGTTGTGGCTCAGCGAACAGATAACGGCGACCGTTTGTTGCAACTATGCTCAGATAACCATGTGCTTCTAGAAAACGCCAACTTTAAACATACGGATAGACATCGTCTGATGTGGCGACCTCCACAATCGACTCATTGACGAACTCAAATAAATCACACTGACACTAATCATCGTTGGAGAGGCTTAATAGAAGACTGTCGTTCACTCTGGAAAACATGTTTGGACTCGGATCATGCTCTAGTCCGGACACATATTTGTCTGCATCTTACTGGACGTAGAAGAGCTACAGTAAGAAAAACCTTTGAAGTTCGACTTAGTAATAAACAAGTTAGGAATATGTTTCAGAAACAACTGGAGGAACTTGTCAACCGTGGGAGTAATATCCATAACATTGGCATCTACCAGTAACTTATATCAACAGATTGGGAGAAATCAGATTTCTGCGGCGTCTACGAAATTGATGGATGCTCGTAAACCCACCTCGTCTGTTTCCGAACACTATGAGGACCGGGGGCAGCCTTTACATACGCTCATAGAAAGCATACGTAACAATCGTTGGTGGCGAAAAGCAAAAGCAGAAGAGGTGGAAAAGACGGGAGCGTTAGGTAATAGTAGGAAATTGTTATTGAGGTTGAGAGAAATATAAGTAATCTGACGCAAGCGGGAGCATTAGAGTCTGACGGAATAAAGTCTGAGATTCTTAAGGGTGATGGCCCTTTTCTCTGCAGCCAACTGCAATTTTAGCTAAAATCTGGGGACTGGACGTCATGTCATATGACTGGTCTTCTCAGTCATTAAGGAAGGACAAAAGTTCCCTTTTGATAATCACAGAGGAATCAGTTTAACTAATGTAGTGACTAAAATATTAGCCTCAATAATACTTCAACATCATGAGCTCGTGAAAAAAAACGAGGAAATTAGTCTGGTTTCAGACCTAAACGTGGATGCATAGACCAATATTCACCCTTCGACAGGTTCCAGAACATAGACATGCTTCTCGACGTCCGACCATAGTTGTAGCAGCATACAACTTTGTTGATTGTAAGGTTCTTTGGCAGTCTCATTGAAAGGCATCACAAAGAAGTACAATGACTCTGTACAGGCCCTCTACACGACGCGCGATGCTGGCTGGTGTTGGGGATGGTTGGAAGAAAGTTAGGGGTGGTCAAACCAAAACGTCGCATCAGTGCTTGAAGTCACTAACTTCTGGTCTAAGCCATGTTGGTAGATGCAGGCTACTTGGTTGGGGTCCGCTTGACTATCGTAACCAAAGGTTGGAGACTCTTGGTGATATGGCTCAGAATCGATCACAATGGCGTCGGTACATGCACTCTTTGGCTTCCCTTAAACTATTTTGCTTTATGTACTATATCCTTATATGCAACCTTTCTTTTATAGATTACCACCATTGAATTAACTACTTCTATGAATCCGGTGTTCATCTTGCTGTGCTAATGCGGTATGGCAAATTGAACGGATACATATATGTGCGTGGTCCTACGTTATAGCTGAATGACTGACTACTCAAACGGTCAGGTTATGGTCATCGTCGGGCCAGTCCACTTCGTTATAGACACCCTTCTAAAGACATCGCTCATGGTCTGAATCTTCAGGAGTTGGTCTTTTTCTAGGAAACTCACTTGCTGACTCAGAATACGCAGATGATAGAATTCCGTTTCGTCAAAACAATGCAAACGTGTTTAGGGTGCGATTCTCTTTCTAATTTGTAAAATGTTACTTCAGGATTGATGTCAGCGCCTGAATTAGTGGTAAAGAGTGGAGTATCGACCACTTCATTTATATTTGGTAGTCTCGTCAGTCCTGATGTCTAACGAAATCTCGGCACGGATTCAGATGGTTCGACTGACTTTTGCCAACCTGCGTTTTAGGCGAGATATCCGTCTTTTAACCAAAGGATGAGTTTAATGCCCATCAGTTCGCTCCGTTCTAACTTATGGATATGAAACGTGGCCATTAAAAACAGAAGATGTCCACAGGTCACTAGTATCCGGTCAAGGATGTCTCCTAGGTTTCGCTCGTATATTTTGAGACTACCGAGTAAGAAATGCTTGGGTTAGGAATAGGGTACTAGGCGAGTATGGCAAATCGGCTGATGAGGTAATAAATCTTCATCAACGAAAGTGGTTGGGACATGTGAGTTATGTCTAACCACTGCCTACCTTGACGGGAGATGTTGTGTGATGTAGTGTGTTGAAGGAAAGGTACGGGCAGCCAAACCAAAAGATGGCATCAATCCACGAAGTCATTTAAAACTGGACTGAGCCATGTTAATAGGTGTAGACTACTTGAATGGGTCCATGTGATTATTGTAACCAACTGTTAGAGACTTTGAATGGTATGGTTTATAATCGTTTGCAATGGCGCAGGTGCATCGATTATTTGTCTTCCCCCGAATTCTCAATTCCTCGGAACGCTTTGTTATTTCACTAAAACTACAGTTCCGGGATTTGGTCTGGCAATTTCATCACTTAGTGTTAATGGAGTGTTGCAAGTTGAACCGATGTACATACGTAACAGAATCTGCGTTATGACCAACTGACTGACGCTGATGTACCTAAATCTCAGTATTAATGTTCGAAATGAGGCCGAAACTCAATACCTAATGCTTTGAGCATCCAATCATTATCCAGTAAGCTGGCAACCAAAGAATGTTTGGATAATCACCTTTGAATGAACTTATGCTAGTAGATGCCAATTGATTGCAGTCAAACTATGACGTAGATATCTATCACGTTCAAAAGTACAATTCTTTTTTTAAATATTAGGTATATTTATATTGATGATGAAGTGAAAGTACTCATGTTAGTACAGTGGAAGTATTTAACCACATATGGGATTAAAATAGAACTAATACTATCAAAAAGCCAGTGGATAGTGATTTATTGCATTGTAAATCGTAAAAACCAACTTTGATGCAATTATTTACTATTATTCTTAAACAGGCAGTTTATACACTCATAATGGCTGTTTTATGTAAATTAGCTTTTATTCAGGGTTATAAGAATAATGGAAAAATGAAGCTAATATTTTTGCTGAATAGTTATACTCAATTGATAGATAGTGCAAATGACACGGTTTAACGTTATTATTCGTATTGAAATGTAATTTATACAGTCAGGAAATGTTTTGAACATATGAACATACAATACTGCTTGATACCTTCAAGATGTCATTCATTTTGATTGTCCGGCCACCTTATTGCTATACGTAGTCAGTATATACATAACATATAAAAGCATCCATGGCCTGAGTCATTCAACTGGAAGTCACTCCGAAATCGGATTAGGGGTCTCTATTATTATGCGCTGGATAATTTACTAAGAAACAACTTGCTCAGAACCGAAGCAAATATTGCAGTTGGTCCGATATATGATCAACGTTCTTCCGAATTCTGTTGAATTTACTTACAAATCAGGAAAGTACCATTTGGCCAGTTAATTAATTAAGCTTAACTCCAGACGTAACAACCAGTTGCTTAAATATTAGACCTATAATTAATGATATTGAGTAACCAATTTAAAACATGTTGGAAATAAGTAACTTGTTGGGATCAGATCATTAACTTGGTCTGAATTCGATAGCCGTAATCACCATATGGCAAAGTCTTTTTGGTAGCATGCAGCCTGTTGAAGTATAAACATGTTTAATCCAGACCTTACGATTGAAAAACCAGCGAGCGTTCTCAGAATTAATATTCTTTGCTGCAATAGGACACTAGTTTACACAAGTAATTAGTAGTCGAATTAAGCAGATAGAATCCCAATATTTCTATAGCGTATATTAAATACATCTGTCACATGCAATAAGTTGCAAACATTATTGCGCAAAAAAGAATGAATACATAGAAATAGATGTATAAACACCAAGTGTTTATGGTATTCAGACTGCATGACGTGGAAAGATGAAAAACGGAGTCAATCCCAAAGTAAACATTGACAAAAAAGACGGAAAATAAGATTAAAGATCAAAGTGAATTATTTACATATGAGTTTTGAAAGAAATGTTTCAAAAAGTATTGCAGACAAGCACACCAGACTAAAAAACACGCTCATAATACGAATTGTCATCTGGTATAGGTGGACGACGATTAGGATGCATGATGCCAGGCCCATTAAGATAATTCATTTGCTGCCCAGGCCCGACAACTGGACCACGTACAATTCCTGGACGATTTCCTCCTTGTAACATACGACCACGAGCGTTATTTGACGACAAGAATTCCAGATAAGATGTCCCGGATTTGGAAAAAGATCGCAAGTCACCTACTGGAGGATCTTCATAAAAGTAGTCATGTGAAAGCGCCTGCTCAGCATCAAGACGTTTGCTGGGATCTAAGACAAGTAATTGGTCAATGAGATCTACAGCAGCAAGCGAAGAAATTTTGGGGGTCAATTTCTCTCGAACATGTCGTTTAATGTCCTGAGGTAGACGAGCTTCTCTAAATGTTTCCAAACGTTCTACACCTGGCCATATTTCAGGTGTTATAGATCCGCAGAGATTAATGATAAGGTTCAACTGACTAATTTCGTTGTCCCCCTAGAAAAATGCAATATCAACAAATTTGATTGAGAAGAAATCCAGAGACCTTTTGCCAATACGATTCTTTATATTAACTGGACCAAAAGAATTACCAGTCATACAGTAGAAATAATCATTTATTTATTTTAACACATAGATATTGGTACAAAGAGGCACCAAATACATATGCACCACACAAATCTCATTCGATATGTGTGAGTGCTGTGATACTACCCGGGTGCCCGAACCGAAGCAGGTGGTTTTCTTAGGGGGCCACTCCCCGAGCCTTCGACCTGAAGGTCTGATCCACAAGGCACTGGAGCATTGTAAGGAGATGCCTTCCCATGGAAGCCGGTGACCAACGAGTGGTTCATACACCATTTGTTCCCGCAGGATACTGGAGCCCATGTGCACCACTGGTTTGGAATCCGGTTAAAGCGCCGGACATTCGCTTTTCGTCCTCTCATTTTCGCAAACAAAACTTCCGCCACGAGAAGGCAGTGAGTAGGACTTCCCCGGCAGAGGCTATATACGCGTGGCCATGTGAGAGCATTTCGAGAGGGAGAGCGGACTCTCCTCACTCTCGGCCGTACCTTTATTTAGAAGAAATGAAGGTAGGAAGGGAAACTAACAGTTTATCTAAAACTGCACTAGATGGTTGATGACTGATTTCGATGTATGTATCACTTAAGTAACTGTGATCTAAGTACATTAGTTCATCTATCATTGAAATGAGTCAGTCTACCAAAGTATGGATTTACACGATTGATTCGTTTATTTTAAATCACACACGGATTTCTATTATTGTTCTTTTACACAGTCGTTTTACTATACTTTAAGTTCCAACCAAACACATCAAAAATACTTGTTATTAAAACCTTGTCGACTTAATACTTGTTGCACGGATCTAAAGTATGCAGATAGACTTCAAAGACTGAAGAAAAATCTGGAGGCGATTTTAATAAATGCTCACAATACAACCTATCGACTCCGAAAAAATTCCTAAATCTTCACTAGAATTATAAATGTTGCATTCATTACCTCCGTCTTACCAAGAGTCGCGTTACTGATGGTTTTTCAAATAAAACTAATAAGATTCATTTAATCGTTAAACTATTCCATTACATACTTTATGTTCACCCTTGAGTCATATAAGATTACTTCCAAGTTTGTATTGTTAACTTCATCCAAACCTTCCCAATATCCAATCTTAATGCGATGTTATCCGTGAAATCAGAAAATTTCCAGTGGGACCTTTTCGTAGGACGGTCAACACAAAATAAAACCTAAGCCGATAATTATTGTATTAACAATGAAGTGAAGTAAGAAAAAATGTAAACTGCTGGTGTCCACTATTATTATCACCTGCACCTCGATTAGTTTGTACGAAATGAAGTTCTCGATTTTGTTACTTCTCCTGTTTGACGAACTTTATTGATGAAGTGTCATTTTTAGCGCGACTTAGGAAACAGACAAAAAATCCATCTTTAAGGAGAACTTTAGAAATCATAACTTACTTATCAAGCACAAATTTGTGCGTTCGAACTTGAGTCATGCGTTTTGTGTGAGGGCCAATGATACTAACCCAATGCTCAAACTGAAGTAGTTTTGAGAGTTGGTTTTGAACCCGTAACTTACTGAACAACCGTTGAATCCCTCAACCAAATCGTAGATCTGCGAAATCTTAACACAATTTAAGTATTAACCCAACTCCTAATCACTTGAATTTAATTATTTTCTGATTACCTAATAAATTACATTGATGATTTTTGTTAAACCGATCTACAGTATTATGACTGACAATCACTTCTCGAAGCTTATTATCGTGAAGATACGACCAAGCTGTATAGGGACGTCACCTTCACAAGCTGAAGTGAGCGACACATAATTAAATTTGAACATCTATGTGAAAGATAATTCGCTTACACTAGAAACATTTATGACTCAGATAATAGATAAGTTGGTTTTCCTAAAGTAAAATAATTAAGTGATAGATTGTTAGTGTCGTTTCGTACGAAATGGAAGCCATAGTACATTATGTTACTTGCAATGACTATCAATTACGACATATTTTACGAATACGAAAACTGGGGTTTTATTTACTAAAATAGTTCAACGAGTATTATTTGTATTGTATGGAATCAAACGAGAAAACTGCATTATTCATTTGACATAATTCAAGTTACCTGCATAATAGGATACTTTGTCCATAATTCAGCCATAATACAACCAGCACCCCACATATCTACAGGCTTTCCATAATGGCGGTCATTTAGGAGGATTTCAGGAGGTCGATACCACAAAGTAACAACTCGTCCAGTATAACGTGTTGGGCGATCAGGACGAAGAGAGGCAACAGTTGTTCGAGCCAGACCAAAATCTGCTATTTTAAGAATGCCGTTTTTATCAATCAAAATGTTCGCAGCTTTTAAATCCCGATGGAGAACATTGTTTCTGGAACGAAAGAAATTCTATGTGTTCATGAAGACCACATTAACACAAATTATGTAAACAGGCGTATACGGAAATGTTTGACCAGAGAGGATACAAACAAAACCACGTTGTGCAGTATATGATTGGAGATCGGACAATTGCCAACAACTAAACATACATAATTAAATAGTTCAACAATTATCAAGTGCTGATCAAACCCAAAAACGTTTCTACCTACTAATACACTTGAATATTATCTTATAAACAATATATCGCCTTTAGGTAGAAAATACACATACAGAAACCAAGACGAAAGAATCTTGAGGGAAACTTACTTATACCTTAGCATAAAAACAAAGTAAATAGATGGACCAAACTACCAACTAACACTTGGTATTGACACAAATATACCGTCCTAATACAAAAAAATTACTGATTATAAAGGTTAAGATAGACTTACTTTGCTACCTAGTACGTACTTACTTACTTACTCCTGTTACTCCTAATGGAGCAAAGGCCGCCGACCAGCGATCTCCAACCCACTCTGTCCTGGGCCTTCTTTTCTAGTTCCATCCAATTCTTGTTCATTTTTCTCATGTCTATCTCCATTTCCCGGCGTAATGTGTTCTTTGGTCTTCCTCTCTTCCTTTGGCCTTCAGGATTCCATGTTAGGTCTTGTCTTGTGACGCAATAGGGTGCTTTCCTCAATGTGTATCCTATTCACTTCCAGCGCTTCTTCCTAATTTCTTCCTCCGCTGGGATCTGGTTTGTTCTTTCCCACAGTTGGTTGTTGCTAATAGTTCCCGGCCAATATATCCGAAGTATTTTGCGTAGACAACTGTTAATAAACACCTGTATTTTCTGGATGATGGCTTTCGTAGTTCTCCAACTTTCCGCTCCATACAGTAGAACTGTATTGACATTTGTATTGAAAATCCAGATCTTGGTGTTAGTTGACAGTTGCTTTGAGTTCCAGATGTTCTTCAATTGTAAATATGCTGCTCTTGCTTTACCGATCCGCGTTTTCACATCTGCACCAGACCCACTGTGTTCATCAATGATGCTGCCCAAATATATAAAGGTTTTTACATCTTCCAAATCTTCTCAGTCAATTATGACTGGATTGGGGCATGCTGTGTTGTATTGGAGAATCTTTCTTTTCCCTTTGTATATATTGAGACCTACTGCTGCTACATTGGTCGTCTTCTCCTGCATTTGTTGTTGCAATTGAGATAGGAGAGCCAGATCATCTGCGAAGTCTAGATCGTCCAGCCGCATCTTAGCTGTCCGCTGTATCTCGTGCTTTTCCCTAGATCTTGACGTCTTAATGATCCAGTTGATAACCAGGAGAAAGAGAAAGGGTGAGAATAAGCAACCTTGCCTGACACCGGTCTTTACCTCGATCGAGTCTGTCAATTGTCCTCCATGCACAATTTTGCAGTTGAATCAATCATAGGAATTCCGTATGATATTGACTATCTTCTGAGGCACGCCGTAGTATCGAAGAAGCTTCCATAGTGTTGTTCTGTCCACGCTATCAAATTCTTTTTCGTAGTCAATGAAGTTGATGTACAGTGATGAATTCCATTCAGTTGATTGTTCCACAATGATCCGTGGAGTTGCGAGTTGGTCTGTACACGATCTATCCTTACGGAATCCTGCCTGTTGGTCACGAAGTTGGGTGTCTACGCAGTCCTTCATTCTGTTTAACAATACCCTGTTGAGGACTTTTCCCGGTATTGAGAGAAGAGTGATGCCCCTGTAGTTATCACACTTGCTGAGATCGTCTTTCTTTGGTATTTTGATCAGAAGTCCTTCTTTCCAGTCTTTTGGTACTTGTTCTTCATCCCAAATCTTATTGAAGATAATGTGGAGTATCCTTGCAGTTACTGCTACGTCTGCTCTCAGTGCCTCTGCTGGAATTTTGTCTGGTCATGCTGCTTTGCCACTCTTGATTTGTCTGATGGCCATGCTGATTTCTTCAATTGTTGGTGGGCTGGTCGATTCAAGAGTTCTTTGAAGTGTTCTACCCACCTGTTTCGTTGTTCTTCAATGTTGATGATTACCTTGTGTTCCTGGTACGTGGAGGAATTTTATTTAATGAACCAAGTACACAACCATTGCATAAAAAATCGGGAGGTTCACTAAGAAATAACATAATGTACCATATATCTAATTCATCTTTTGATAACATTACTTGCGAGCTATGATAACTTAATACACTGAAAAGCTGAGTTAATGCAAAAACTTTACTTGAACTTTTTTAGAATTATTAGTCTAGCTTTAATGAAGATTTACCTGAAGAAATGTTTACTCATTATTCTTTGAGAAAGCCAAGTGAACTTAATAATCCATGCTGAGATCTCATTAGAAACTAACCTACTTCAGTTGATGGGACTTCCTAGTAGAGTGAACACGCGCAACTACTTTGTTCTTTAGTATCGATCTAGGAGTCGACCTAAACCGATTCTGAAGCTGTATTTTGGATGTAGATAGAAAAAACGCATCCCAAAAATGTTTGCATTTGTGACACAAATTAGTCTGATACACTCAGCTTTGAGTTAAACTATGGACTGGAAATACTGCTAGACTGTTAAATCTAACTACACAACAGGCCTGTCCTGCTACCTTTGAGTTAGTCAGTTCGTCTCGTCGCCAAGCCTAGAATATAAACCCGTTTGTTAACGGGTTACTAATAACGGGATGGAACATTGTAAGATTTTGAGTGACACATAGTAAGAGTGAGGTCAAGTGCTCTTATAGCATGAATCTTGATAAATCCTTAACCATCGAAGACACGAGAAATGAAATATTACTTAAGGCAGCATAGCGAAAAATAAGGGTCCCAACAAACTTACAGATGCAAGTAGAAAACGCCAGTAAGTAGTTGTTTCATTATTGCTTTTTTGACTGGTTCAGTGAAATCAATCTGCTGACTTAAACCAGCAAGATCATGATCACAAAACTCAAAAACAAGATAGAACTGTGGTTTGAATCCATTACCAGCATTCGCTGAGAATAGCGTGAGGTAGAAATAGGCTTACGTGGACTATGGCATATTTCCTTTAGACACACAATATTTTCATGATTGAGGGATTGTAATATGCGTATTTCTCGTAACGCAGTAATAGGAAACTTTAAAATTGGTATGTTAAAAGTGCTACATACTCCTTCTTTTTCTTGTTCCATCCGAATTCGTTTCAGTGCAAAATGCTGTTTTGTTGATTTATGCCGCACCTTAAAAACCTCCCCAAAGGTACCCTGCCCGATTTTCTGTAGTCGCACGTATTGATCGACTGGCTTGGTCTTTGATATCCCTTCCAGCTCTCTCTCTGCCATTGTGAAAAACTTTGTGTAGTCTGCTTGAAGATCTGACAGCAGCTCCGCTCGATAACTGTCATCTTGAAGCAGAGCCATGAGATGGTTCCGAAAATACTTGATTTACCACTAGCCCTCAATGTTTCAATCAACAAAAAGTTGCTCAATGCCCAATATCTTTATTCTGATTCTAAACTTTCTGATTTTGGGATAGAAAGACGACGGTCTGTATTTTTCGCCTTCAGTCGCGTGATTGTAGTTGTTTAACTTTGTCCTAGACAGTTGGGCAAACTAGTGGTGTGTTTTGATCTGTCATCAGAATTAGTAGTTATGTAAAGATCTGACCTCTACTTGAATGTGAGAGGAAGAGATGAGTAGAATAGAAGTCCTGTTAAGGTATCTTTTCACTCGCTCCTGAACGCTAAAGGCAAAACGCTGACTGTAAACAATTTGGTGTTGATTTCCTAGCATCCTGACAACTCACCCTAATCGCCCTATTTTGGAGAAAAACCATAAAATCTGTGGTACTCAGTTTTCTGGACAAACAGGTAATAATCAGTCCACTGCGTAACCCCTTTAAGATGAAGTTACAACTATTAATAGTAATTTCTATTGTGATCATGAACTTCAGTCAACATTACATAACCGATATTTACGTTTTCTTTTACTATGTCAAATAGACACGGGACGAAGAGGCATCGGCTTTACACCTCTTTTCAAAACATCTCACGCCATGCAGTTGAGTTATTTGTGCTGTCTACGACTTTGATTACTGATTCTGTCCAGCCTGATTACAGCTAATTGTCTCTTTTAGACTAATAATTTAGAGCGTAATGAAAGGGATAAAAGATGGGTTACTACCTCATTATTCATGGGAGACCATCTGAAGGTCCACATGCACTGGTAGACCCAATAAAATAGCACTGAATCCCTGATTCATTATCCGCCAAGTCAATGTATCTCTGCCTTGGAAGAATGATAACTGGATCTTGAATTGTGACCATCCAGAACTGAAGAATCGATGACGCGGAATTAACATATTCAGCAGATGAGTCCCCTCTTTGATCTCAAATACCGTTTCGTTCTCGTGGTATTTTACCTGTCCTTTAAGGATATTTAGTAACTCAGGATGATCCAATTTCTAAAGTGGGGGGTGCTATGCTAGGAACTCATTTAATCGTAAGACAATGATGTAAGCCTACATAAATTAAGCGATCGCACCACAGCAACACTAGTCCGATGGATAGAGGCTATGAACTGAATACTACGAGAAAGCTTGTTAAACCAGAGATAGTCCAAGATCCTCAGGATTGCCCCTATCGTAAAGTACATTTTTAAACTGAAACAATTTGTTTTTCATTATGCGATACACCCCTTAAATTATAAAAGTTTTATTTGTCACTCATTTGAGTAGGGTGTAATTTTGCCATGCTTTATTATTATATCCAAGAAAGGCTGCGATTCGTTTGGCAAAAACATGTATACGTTTTCGTTATTCAAACAGTGCTCCATCACATTCATGAGAATCCTACTGCAAAACGGATTATATGGCGCTCATGTATACAAAATTTTCAGTTAACATCAGACGCATTGAAATCATCCGGTCATTTTACCTAAAGTGAAATGTGGTTTACAGCAGGTTGGGCCATGGTAAATAATACTTAGTATAAATACGTAAAGTTTAAATGTAAATAAATTTTCCATTTTGTCATTTGGTAAATAAAGAAGGAACGAATTGAGCAAAGAAATTTCTTTTCAATTAGTTTTTCACCATGGCTTTGCACTAATATATATATGTTTTACAATAATAATATAATACTCATCGAGTGGATACGTTGCGTAATAATTACATAATGACATATAAATTAACATTGAGTAATCGGAAGAAAGAGGATTATTAATATTCAAAGTAATTATTAAATCACGAAGTTGCTACGTTGCGTAATATATGAAAAGAAAAGGAACAGAATTCTAACGGATGGTCAATAGGATAGTAGTTACGTAAGAATCAAGAGATGAATGTTGAGAAGTTATAAAGTTCAAAAGCAACAGAAACAAAATTGCAAAAGTTAAAAAAACAAGTGAAAGAAGTATGAAAAATAGTTCTTATGATGGAAATCTTATACTGAAGGCCAGGGCGGAGAGAGTGATTGTACGAATTTCTTTTGGATGCAAAGGTCAGGTTTGTGAACGTGGATTGCGATGGCTTCCGCAAGGTGCAAAAGGCGCACTCGTAAACCATGTAGTAGACTTGATGGAATGTTGTAGATAACCTTAAAAGCTTTGTTCAATTCGACTTGATGACCTGTGTCAACCAAGTGAGAGAGAATAGAACTTTTGATCACTTTCACCTGTAGGGCCAGCGAAATGTCACTAGGCCCTAGTCAAATCATCCGGCAGTTGGGTCATTGAATATCGAGCAACTCATCGATCCTCTCAAGGTCAAGGACAACCAACGCGCATCTGTTAATCGTATGCCATGGACTGGCCCGTGCGGCAGTGATCTTAATTTCGACTGTATCTACTTTAACTAATATATTTCTGCAATAACGTCCTCTGCGTTGTACAGTCTTCAGAGCATCTATGGTACCTTGATACGTCGATGGGGCAGTCCACGTAAGGTGCTGACCATGAGGTGTGACTTCGACATTAGCTAGTTTGTCACATCCTTCACGTCTAACTCGAGTAGGCATCCAATCATTTTGACATAGATCATCTACGTTGGTGATTTACACACCTGTCCTTTGCTTAGCCATGTCGGATGATGTTCTGTAATGCGGTGACGGACCTGCCGAATTGTACGCCCTATGTAACTGGCTCCACAGGAGCATTTGAAACGATAGATACACATAGATTTGGCGAATTCTAGCAGTCTGTCTTTAATGGAGGTTCTTATTTTCGGGTGGTTGTAAAAGATGACATTTAATTTTGCAGCATTAAATGTTTTTTGTACAGCTCTTCGTAGTTTCTGAGTCATGACTTCTTCAATGGTGTCATGTATGAATTGTACATAAACAAAACAAAAGCCCTTCTAAATGATAATAGCGAATTTCAGAAACTGGCTGTGAAAAATTACGTAGCAGACAATATTGAAAAACAACTAACTGATTCACTGAAAGAAATTAAACAATAAGGTTTTATTTCAGAAAAGGTGTTCGAAATGTTGAAACCTACAGGAACAATTACACCAAGACTATATGGCCTACCAGAAATACACAAAAGTGGCTTGCTCTTTCGACCAGTATTAGATATGAATAACTCAGCGTATCATACTTTAGCAAAATGGTTGGTGCAAATTCTTCAACCATTACACAAAGAAATTGTCAGACATAGTGTCAAAGATTCCTTTGAATTTGTTGAGAACACAAATAATCTATCAGTCAAGAATAAATTCATGATATCACTTGATGTAGCATCATTCACTAATATTCCACTACTCGAAACGGTTGATTTTATTTGCAATGAACTAACGGTGAGACGCATAGAAACCCTGATTTGACTAGGGCCTAGTGACATTTCGCTGGCCCTACAGGTGAAAGTGATCAAAAGTTCTATTCTCTCTCACTTGGTTGACACAGGTCATCAAGTCGAATTGAACAAAGCTTTTAAGGTTATCTACAACATTCCATCAAGTCTACTACATGGTTTACGAGTGCGCCTTTTGCACCTTGCGGAAGCCATCGCAATCCACGTTCACAAACCTGACCTTTGCATCCAAAAGAAATTCGTACAATCACTCTCTCCGCCCTGGCCTTCAGTATAAGATTTCCATCATAAGAACTATTTTTCATACTTCTTTCACTTGTTTTTTTAACTTTTGCAATTTTGTTTCTGTTGCTTTTGAACTTTATAACTTCTCAACATTCATCTCTTGATTCTTACGTAACTACTATCCTATTGACCATCCGTTAGAATTCTGTTCCTTTTCTTTTCATATATTACGCAACGTAGCAACTTCGTGATTTAATAATTACTTTGAATATTAATAATCCTCTTTCTTCCGATTACTCAATGTTAATTTATATGTCATTATGTAATTATTACGCAACGTATCCACTCGATGAGTATTATATTATTATTGTAAAACATATATATATTAGTGCAAAGCCATGGTGAAAAACTAATTGAAAAGAAATTTCTTTGCTCAATTCGTTCCTTCTTTATTTAAATTTTATGTCAGAATTTTTACTCGCATAAAACCCGTCAACAAAAAGCAATATGCATACTGCTGTTGACGAATTGCATGAACAGTAGGCTGGAAGTTATTTTACACTACACAAATATCACATATGTCACTTAATTATCTACTTAATAGCCGTTTAGATATCGTTTGACTTCGAAAATAATGGTTCGGAATCAGTCTTTCCGATATTTTGACAAGAAGTATTCATTACTGTTTTTAATATCGAATTTATTGGTCCTAAATGATGTGTCAAACCACACTTTCTGGTCCTTACAAGTAGGCACTCCGTTTGTGTAAAACTGACGTTTAATTCAAGAGGTCGTGTTTTACATATCTGGTGTTTGCGTCGCCGCTTCAGTTTACTCACGTTAAGGCTGCAGATTGCTGAGTCATTTATCCTAACTTTCTGACGGATTTTCTTTAAGTGTCATTATGCTACTAATTGGGCCTGCCGTGAGTGTAAAGCCTGAATAAACAACCAGCACTTGGCAATGCTATTATCTGAATGTTATCTCTGAGTAATAATTCCAAAATATGTGAAGCCAAACGTCTAGCGTGGTAGTGTAAAAACGTATACGTGAATTATAGGTTCATGTATCCAAACATATGAAATCTAAAATAACTGGTTATCGTCAGGAATTCGTTATTGTTATTATTTTATTGTTTTTTTATTCGGTATTATATTCCCTGTACAATATAGAATTCTAAGAACAAAGTACTTCAACAAGTATCCGTTTCTCATTTTTTGATCATTCCTGACAATAAATGCTAAGTGGTCGCCAGTTAGATGTTGGCAGTGTCTCTATGCTACCATGAGAACCTTAAAAGACTTATTGGTAAACTGTAAGAGAAGTGAAAGTACTTTTTCGATATAGTGTCAAGATGAGCTAATTAAAAATAACGTCTGTAATCCTCT